ATTTATTTATAATAAGAACATACACTAGTCCTTATGACCTACATTCAGTTTTGTACTCTGCCATTATCACTGTGATTGTCATATTTTAAATGATTGAATTTTACCGCTTACTCATTTTCATAAGCTCAGGCCACTATCGGGAGTACAATGGAGATTCATTCATTTTTCTCCTGTTGTATAACCATGTGAGGGTCACCAGATGAACTACCATCACAACCAAGTTAAATGATGAAAACAAAACATCATTGGACCTCAAATCATTCCCTACGCTGTCTTTCTTCTATTACCCTTCTATACATCCTATCTGTGTGGACTGTGGCTATAAGGAGACGTGCATAGGTTTGCTCTTAAAGTAACCTTTCACTTTCTCTTCTGCCTTTATTACCCCACCATAAAATTGTCACGGAAAAGAGGGACCCAGGCGCGGTTCTTGCTCACAGAAACACAGTGCGTTTATTTACAGTGAAACAGACAAGTCCAACAATTCACTCAAAAGTGCAATTTTCCAATCGTGCTCGTCCCTTGCTCCCAGTGCGTTCCGTGTTGTAACTCCCTTAGTGTGTGTGCTCTCCAACTCGCTTCTCCGCTCGCCCCTCCTGAAGGAAGAAGGAAAATCCAGCGTTAGCCACACGCTAGCCGAATAACACGCTCACACTGCTCGCACAGACTATACCAGTTCGGAGTAATAATCCCACGTCGACTGTCACCGCGAGTCCAGGTTAAATACCCCTTTCTAGCCTGGAGGATTGATTACCAACCACTGGTCAGGTAATCAGCTGCAGATGGGCCGGCAACAGCGAACAGGGACTCCCAATGATGACAGTCGCCAGGACACGCCTCTCCCACGGCGCGCACTTCCGTAAACAGCCCCGAGGACCAGGGAGGGAGAAGCAAACACACACACAGAAAACATAAACACAAGCAGGGTCGTCCGGAAAGAGCCGTCCGACCGTGACAAAAATAGTGGCTGAAAACTCTGATAACGTGTCAACAGAAAAAAGTTCAACAGTTTCTTGTAAATTGTATAAAACATTTATAGATTGGATTATTCATTTTTTTTATGGGTCTCAACATTGTTGGAATGGTTTAGTGAGTGCTCATTCATCAGTCTGACATTTAAATTCTCTGACTTATTTTATTTAAAACTGAAAGTATGAAATTAAGATGAACTTACAGTGTATTCATTGTATATTCTCTTATATTCATATAAAATAATATTCATATTAAACATTGTTAATATAGGAAAACAATAACAATCTCTGGTGTTGGTGTAGAGGAGGGACAGTGCACATATTGGACAAAGGATGTTGAAGATAGAGATGCCAGACAGGAAGAAAAAAGAAGAAGACCTCTGAGGAGATTTGTGACAACTTGTGAAAACTCTGCTTAACTTGACTTAATTCACTCAGTCTTTAATTGGCCGTTATTTTACTGACATCAAGTGTGAATGCCATGAAAGACAAAGATCAGAGACATCAATCATCAGTCTGTTTCCACAATCTTCACAATCAGCTCTGTGCATAACTTACATTACTGTCATGCAAAGAGCAACTTTGAACCATGGAGTTTCATTGTTTTCAGTTTAAACTGGTTCAGCAAACATGGTAGCTTTTTAAGTGAAGCAGAGAGGTAAGCTCTGATGGTGGTTTAATGTCTGATAGATGACACTGAAATGGTTCTTCCTGTTCTCCAATTGTCACTTGTCATGGAATAAGTTGAATACAGCCAACTTTAGTATTATCAACATGGCGTGGCTCTGCTTTGACTACAAAATGAGCTGCACCTTATTTGAAGGTCACACCGGCTTCCTCTCATTCAGTCAGTCACATATTTCCTGTCTCTTACGTGTTTCTGTAAATCCCCGAAGCAACCACATGCTACAGCATGCTGTAGCATGCAGTTTTAGTTTCACACGACTCTCTTATTTTATGTTGCTTGAACTGTTGGTGGGACATGAAAACAGGATGTGCAGGTTTTCAGAGTACATGTTGTTGAAAGCTAGATAGATGCATTTACTTTCATTATACAAGAACAACAAAAATCATTTAGAACAAGCCAGCAGAACTCAGTGTATTACTTACACTGTAGGATGTAGAAGAATACATAGATATTAACTATAAAAAGATGTTATTTTGTGGTAAAATATATAAACCGAGAATGGGAACATGGAAAGTGCAGTAAGCAGACATGTTATTACACTAACGTGATAATCA